GATCCCTTTGTGCTCCATAAATTGAGATGACGACTCGTTCTCCTTTGTGAAGAAGCAACATTTCCGTTCCATCTTCACCGCCACCGCTCGGAAGCCATGTATCCTTGTTGGCTCTTCTTAGAGTCAGAGTCGTTGGAGGCAGTAGTCGCAATGCTGCACATATGGTTAAAATGTGGCTGTTTAAAAATCTCGATTGTAATTACCTTCATTGAGTACGCTTATCAGGTAAGGGAACTTGTTTAGGTCCGCAAATGTCGGCTCTTCGAGTCCAACCACATCAAGAACACTCTGACGAAGTTTTTCATAGATCTTAGGATGTTGGCTGAGTAGCCAAATAGAGTGCGATAGAGGTCTCGCCGTAGACTCAGAAGCCATCAATGCGGCAGTGACGTCGTTCCTGAGCGTTTCTGGGTCGTTGGTATGCAATGAAAGTCGGTCCAAGAATCTCGACTGAAGTGGGCTATCGCTTTGAGGATTCATATCTCCGCCTTCCCTTGTCTTCAGTTGTTCTTGAATGGTGCGATGCAAAAGCCCCTTGAACAAGCGACAATCGGCATCGAAACCTCCTCGCGGTAACAGCCACGATAGAGGACCCAGTAGGCCTTTCATGGCCATTGCGGGTGTGAGACGCTCTAGTGCTTCCACGGACTCTCTTGTTTCTTTCGACTGATTTTCAATATCAAGACGATGAGCTGACTCTCCGATGACAAAGTTTCTGACAATATCTGTCATCATGTCGAGGACAAGTGGTTGCAGATCCACCATATTTCCTGCTGGAATATGATGTAGGAAGAGTCTGAAGCTTTTTTCGAGGAACGGTAGGTCGAGAAGTTGATGATGGTGGGTGAGAGAGCGACGCCATTTTCGTCGTTCGTCCTCCCATGCTTTGCCGTCGACGGAGGCTATAGTCCCGGGTGCCACATCCTTGAACATCTCGGTACGGATTCCCTTTGTGGCGTCGTAGTCAAGCCACTGGAAGGCTAAGATGTGTTTGATATTGACTGCGTCGCGAGTAAAGATAATGCGAGTTCCGAAGAAGCTTATCACGTAAGTGTCGCCATACCGACTCCAGAGGCTGTCCAGGTACGATAGAACGGTGCCATTTTTGACAGACCGAAATACTCTCAGAAGATCTTCAACACCCGCAAAGCTCCAAAAACGGGGCTTGGTAGTTCCTCTTTTGCTGTATCTTGGTGTTTGGTTGAACGACTGGTTTTTCCCCAAAGAATAGATTGTCACTGCGACACAAAACGATATGAACAGTGTGAGCACAGATATCCACTGCTGTATGATGAGCATACTTGCAGAATATAATTGTGACGAGTGGCCAGCTGTGGGGATCTTTCGATTGAACCGACAACAAAGAATTGGGCAGGTATGTATGGTGAGCTTGGAGTTGGATGACGTCCATGACTTTATGCAATGATGAGGTCGCCGAAATGGTTTTTCAGAGCTTCTGACTCAATCTTGCATACCCGGATCGCCACCAATCATTCCAATAAAAGGGTATCCGTGCCACAGTAAGTTGTTGAGATCACACCAGAAGAGCTGATAGCAGAGGCAAACATTTGTGTTCCGCCAAAACAGTTGAGCGATCGATCTCCGGGTACAATGATTGATGCAGCTGAAATATCGGGTCTTTTAGCACATTCGTATGTGAGCACTAGTGCTGCATGATATGTGTCTTGATATGTAGGACAGCGTGGTCGCACGACATCCCGGAATCGGTGTGTAACGGTGAAAAGATCTGCTGGCTCGGCAACACAAAGATTTGTAACAACTACCACCACCAGGTTACAAGCTTGAAATGTGGACTGTGTCTCATTCTTTCTCAAGCCGAAGCAAAGTGTCAAGAGCTACGCAGTCGAAAAAAAGTCACGGGAGTCACTCGGTGCGATCTTTGAAAGTTACCGAGAGTTGGTGCAAGCCCAAATGGCCGTAGTCATTGATGAACGTTCTCACACTCGATATTGTCTGAGTTCCTGCGGTGAGATGTTCTGATCTCTTTGTGATACCTTGGCTGATGCACGACCCCCACACGCTTCGGAAGTCATGCTCAATCGCGACTGGCGCATGTTATCTAGCGCATGTCATCTTCTTGGAAACTCGCAATAGTGGCATCTCATATTGCATTCAGCACTGGGTTTCTGCTTATAGTGCTGATTTAAATCGGATAATTTCAGCTAATACAGGCAAGTGCTTAGAAAGACAGCCTACACGCGCCCATTGTAGACACCGCTACAAGGATTTCAGATTTAACTCGCAGTCTTGGTTGCCCCTTGGAACTAGCTGCCATGCGTGAGTTGATTGATCGAGTGCGATTATGATAGAGCATGCAAAGTGTCGTTGTTACCCTGCTTTTAGTCTTTGGCGGTCAATCATTCCGAGCCGCAGCTTTCAGACATGGTTGGGTCCGATACATACCGGTACGGGCGTCAAGTCCTTGGTTATGTGACCGAGACTATGCAATCACTAGTTTGGGTACCAGGGCTATCAGCTTATGATTGTAGCAGATTATCGCATGTCGGGGAACACTAAGCCTAGCAGCTAGAACTAGTCCTCGCGATTATGGATCAGGCTCAATTGGTCCCGGCGCCCAAAACAAATGTGCCAGCACAGCTACGGAAATCTTGCCTTGGCACTTCGTATGATAAATTTTCGCTGAAATGTTATAATTACATTGCTTAACTTTTCTTCCCTCGACACCAGAGACACTCATATCAGCTCCATGTATCAACCTATCATGGACTGCCAGAAGAGCAAAACTACTTCTCACCTCTTGACGTCTGTACACAGAGCTGTTCGCCGTGCGACTGATCATGCGTGGGGCATCTGCAAACCGGATCATCACTGGATGGGCGAGCTCAAGTCAAACGTTGCTATCACGGCTCAGCAAATTTTCTTCCTTCAGTCGCTCGGGGGCAATATTCCGGACGCTGCCGCATATCGCCAATATCTTCTTTCGCAGCAACTATCCGATGGCTCGTGGGCAATAGCTCCGGATCATCCAGGAGATGTCAGCATTAGTACAGAAGCATACCTAGCTCTGAAGATACTCGGCGTTTCAACCGAAAGTGAAGCCATGCTTTCCGCGAAAGAGTTTATCAGGAGCTCTGGTGGACTCGCGCGAGTGAGAATCTTCACTCGCATTTTTTTAGCACAGTTTGGGTTGTTCCCCTGGAGTGCTGTGCCACAGCTTCCCGCAGAGTTCATACTCTTGCCTTCAGTACTACCGATCAATGTTTACCGTCTTGCATCGTGGGCACGGTCTACGCTTATACCATTGTTGATTATACGCCATCATCAGTCCGTGTATGCCCTACCGAACGGGAAGCATGCCAACAACACCTATCTGGACGAGCTTTGGCTCGATACAAGCGACAAGAATATTCCATATCGCGTACTGTCATGGAAGGCCGATATGATGTCCCTGTTTTTCAGTCTCATCGATGTTTTTCTGGTATACTTAGGATTCATACGACCCCTGTGGATCTTTCGAAGTATTTCTAGATGGCTATGTATTCGATGGATCCTTGAACATCAAGAAAAAGAGGGAGATTGGGCTGGTATAATACCACCAATGCATGCTGGCGTACAGGCTTTACTTCTGGAAGGATATGATCGACATGACGAACGTGTTTGCCGGGCCATTGATGCCATCGAAAGATTCACATGGCAAGATGATCAGGGCAAGCGTCTACAGTCTTGTATCTCGCCAGTTTGGGATACAGTACTTATGGTGCGAGGACTCGTCGATGTAGGCTTCGATAAGGCTGACGAGCGTATCCATGAGGCTGTTAAGTGGATTAAGTCAAAACAGATCCTCGAAGAGACTGGAGACTGGCGGATCTTTGCTGGCTCAGTTGAGGCTGGCGGCTTCAGCTTCGAATACAATAACAAGTGGTACCCCGATGTTGACGACACGGCAGCGGCGATTTTGGCCGTCATTACACACGATCCTATCGCGGTGGGCTCTACGACGGTGTCGAAAGCAGCCAGATGGATCTGCGGAATGCAGAATCGAGATGGCGGTTGGGGTGCATTCGATTTCGGTAACGATAAGTTGTGGTTGAACAAGATTCCCTTTTCTGATATGGACGCTCTGTGCGATCCATCGTCCGCGGATGTCACAGGCCGGATCCTGGAAGCCTTCGGGTTCATGATGAAACTCGCGAAGACCGAATTCGTAGAGCCAAATCTGATTCAAGACATCGCCTCCGTTTGCTCTCGAGCAATTGGGTATCTCATCCAAGAGCAGGAGGCGTGTGGGGCCTGGTACGGGAGATGGGGCAGCAATTATCTCTATGGTACAAGCAACGTAGTATGCGGTCTTGCATACTTCAGTGAGGGAAACGATCAAATACAAGAGATGGTATCAGATGCCATCAAGTGGATCAAGCAGATGCAGAATGCCGATGGTGGTTGGGGTGAAAGCCTACACTCCTACCAAGACCTTTCCAAGGCTGGCAGGGGATCTTCGTCGCCTTCTCAGACCGCGTGGGCTCTGTTGGCGCTACTAACAGAATATAGTCCCTATGACACTTCCATTACCGCGGGTGTATCGCATCTTGTTGACACGCAGACCGACGTACACGATCGTGGGTCAAGCTGGCCAGAGTCAGCTTACACGGGTACGGGTTTCCCAAACCATTTTTACATTGGGTATAGCTTATACCGTCACTATTTCCCTATGATGGCGCTGGGCAGGTTTATAAAACTCTCAGAGGAGGCTCTCGAGATGACCAACGGGAATTCGAAGGGTGACCTGTCGAGGCATGATAGCCTGAATTCTATAGCATAGATTCCTTATTTAGTCTGTACTTCTTTATCAACCTCATGGAGGTTCCCAGAATGTCCACCTCGTTCAACAATCGAATGCTGTTCGGTACAGCACCTTGCCACGGCCGACGGGACGCCGAGCACTCTGCAAGATAAGCAACAGCTAGGTGTAATCTGAATCTAATTAGCGGGTGTTAAGTAGCTAGGGCTGTCTTTAATGTAGCTGCATTGCCTTTTGAACGCTTTGTTTATGCATTTTCCCAGTTGATATATTGGAAGTGTAAAAGGTCCGGCCACGGTTGGTGCTATGGTTGTGACAGCATGGGATATGTGTGAGCTTTGATACTTGAAAAGAAACCGTTTGCGATCAACTACATGGCAAGACTATCAGGTATATTACTCATACATTATACTAAAGTGAAAGAACCGCACGGATAGAGATACCATGGACATGGCATAGTTTACCATCTCCTCATCAGTACATCTTGTAAAGCCATTGCGAAGGATGGAAGAACACCTCGAAGTCCACACCACCAAATACCCCTATCGCAGGGAACAGGTCATGATCACCTCTCAGCCCAACTGTTCCTCCATCACTTCGTGCGTCTAGCTCCTCATTACCATCCCACCCGCCTTCTCTCTTTCCGTTTCTCGTGAAGAACACCTCAATATCCATCAATTTGCCTTGTTGCTGCGCTTCGTAGCTCGGTGGGTCCTTCGGAATTGTGAAGCTCATGCCAATACCCACCGTATCGCCGGGTGCGAATGCAGTAGTGAAATCGACACCACCCCAAGTGTCGTTGACATATCGTCGACCGTCATCGCCGTGAACGCCAAGGCTACCACGCTGCCAACCGGGAAGTCGGAAAGTAGGATACGGAGGCGCGATAAAGCCAACAGCGATACCGGCATCAGCCTCTTCAAGCGAGCGCCCCCCACGACCGATACCAGTCACTTTGAGCTCAAAATAGACGGTCTTGCTTCTATGAGTACGCAGTGGGCTGTCCAATAAGGCTGCGTACATGGGCAAATTTGTCAAGATGCTTGAGTCGCGGCAGTTGGCATGTGTGCGAACCTTCCAATGTCCGGCCTGCGGCTGGGGCATGATGTCGCCAACAAGGCTAGGTGCTTTCAGAAGCGCCAACTGCGCATTCTGAATAGCTGCATACGTTGAGGGGGCGATATTGTATGCTGGCCACAGGGGGTTTGCATTTGTCCAGGCAAACGCTCGGTCGCCCTCGTCCATAGTCGAATTTGCTGTTGGTGAGGTCTCATAACCTATAGAGGGCGGTGGTGGCAAAAGTGCTGTGTCCGGTATCACCTGCCAATTGTGTTGTACTGGCGCTTCGTAGCTGGGCGGCGCCTGTTCCGTGTAATGCGCTGGTGGCGGACCTGGGGGTGGTGCGTAGTCAGAAGTCGTAGCATGACCTGGAGGAGGGCCTGGCGGGGCATGATACCCTGACTTTGAAGTGGACTGGCTTGGAGGTGGACCTGGTGGTGCTTGATATTTCTCAGTTGGCGGGTTATGGTTTTGCGACGTTGAGTAGTATTGGTTGTTCGAATGCGACTGTTCTTGTGGTATTCTCTCAGGCTCGGAGTGTTGAGACCCATGGTCTTCGCCTTTGAGCTTGT